AGTGAAGGACAGGGAAGCCTAGAATGCTACAGTCCATGGGGTCGCAAAAATAGGACATGATTGAGAGACTGAATAACAACAACAAATTGTGAATATATTATATGAAAGAATGATAACAAAACAATTAAATCTAAGTGTTTTTAATCTCACAGATGCCTCAGCAATAACTTCTATTTTGAATTTTTGAGCCTACTTAAATATCCTATGCTTATCGATTTGGAATTTTAGAAGTTAAAGGATATGACCATTCAGTGCAAGCCTCAGGTTAACAGATGAGCATGACTAGACCCACATGAAAGTAGTTTATCCAATGTCTCAGCACTAGGTAGATTCATTTAACTGTTTTCAGTAACACATTAAATATCACATTTTAATATAGAAATTGCATATTACTCATGCCCCAGATAAGACATTTAGGCAAACATATGTGCAGCAGCAGATGAATTAACAGAATAATGATTTTACAAGTTGCAGAAGATTTTATAAAATCTGTCTCATAGTAGGTATTATAAATATTTGTTAAATGAGTAATAGCTGATAGCTAATATTGAATGACTATAAACTTATCTATGTGGGAGACACTGTGGAAAGTTTATTGGATGAGCTATCCCCTTTAATACTAATCTATTTGCTTGATATCAATATTGTAAGTAGTAGTAGTATGTCAATTTTAATAAAAGGAAAAAGAGGCACACAGATGATTAAGTGGTTTGTCTAATTATATTTAACTAATAAATAATAGGGCTTAGATCTGCAACATTTCTGTTAGTCTGCTTCCAAATCCCTTATTCTTAATTGTAAAGAAAAGGGGGGGTGTTATTTATACTATGATGCAAATGACTGATAATATACCCTTCCTAAAAATTAGACCTTTGAAAGAATATTTGTATCAGAAAGGAAAAAGACTAATGACAGATTGTAAAAAAGATTCACCTGGTTCATTTTCAACCCCAAAATAGACTTCGACAGAGTTCATTTATATTACTAAGCTTAATCGGGATGGGGAATACATGTAAATCCATGGCTAATTCATGTCAATGTATGACAAAAACCACTACAATATTGTAAAGTAATTAGACTCCAACTAATAAAAATAAATGAAAAAAAATAAAAAATAAATAAATAAATAAAAAATATATTACTAAGCTTAATGATTTCTATATTGAGCAACAAAAACATATACTCAAGTATTTGAATTGATATTTGAATTGTTTTCATTCTACCATTTGAGGTAAAAATATTTAAAGCAAATATATGGAAGAGGAGGGAGTTATATGAGAGATTTATTTCTTAAACTATAGTAATAAGATAATTTATACTGAGACTTTCCACATATTTCTATGGCCATGAAACATGTTGTGAATATATTTACAAATCCTGTTATTGATGGGTGAAATCTCACATTTTTCTTATATAAAATACATATAAAAATACACATCATTGTATATTTGTGTTTGAGTTATTTGATATCTCCATTCATATTTCAGGAATCATTTTTAGTTAGAGTTTGAGATTTTGAACTGAATAAAAATAAAAGATATCCAACTTCTTCTTATAATTATTCATTTTAAATATAATTCATCTTAGAGATGTCCAGGATTTGCTCATTAAATTTGCCTCAGAATATAGAAATTGCATGAAATTTATAGGAACATGAGTTGAAAGCACTGTTTGAGGCAGAGCACTTCAGCACATTTAAAATAATTTTGTTCAGTGTTAGAAAAATCTAGTTTTAGGAACCCTCTAGAATTAATTGATACAGAAAAAAATAATCTCACTCCCAGAAATCTTTGGGGATATAAGTAAATAAATAATTCCAATACTATTATATTTTTTTGTTACTTGAAAGGGCTTCCCAGTTGGTGCTGGTGGTAAAGAATCTGCCTGCCAATGCAGGAGACACAGGTTCTATCTCTGGGTCAGAAAAATCCCCTGGAGTAGGAAATGGCAACCTCCTCTAGTATTCTTGCCTGGAGAATTCCATGGACAGAAGAGCCTGGTGAGCTACAGTTCATGGGGTCGCAGAGTCAGACATGACTGAACCAATTTAGCATGCACATTACTTGAAAAGCCAAAAACCAAAAGACAATCCAAAAAATTTAGCAGTGTTGGGTAAGACCTACTACTTGGGTGATCATTACTTGGCCTTCCACCCTCACTTATTACTTTTAGATACTTCTTGTTCTGTACCTTCTAAAGAACTATCCAAGGTTGCTCACTCCCCCTCTGGCAAAGTACCAGCTTTTGAACCAGAAGACTCCAAATTCACATTTCAATTCAGCAGCTGTGGCGATTTGGGGGACCCAGTTACTGGAGCCACATTTCCTCATAATCCAGGAGAGGGAAAATATCTACTTTCCAGGGTTGTAGAGGGAATGAATGACAGAATGTACAAGGAAAACAAATGTGCGAAGCTAACTATACACTTACCTTTCTACATAAGAAGATACAAGTTAAAGCATTGAAATAAGTATACTATCAAGGGTGAAACAGATCACCAGGCCAGGTTGGATGCATGAGACAAGTGCTCATAGCTGGTGCACTGGGAAGACCCAGAGGGATCGGGTGGAGAGGGAGGTGGGAGGGGGGTTCAGGATGGGGAACACATGTAAATCCATGGCTGATTCATGTCAGTGTATGGCAGAAACCACTACAATATTGTAAAGTAATTAGCCTCCAACTAATACAAATAAATGGGAAAAAAAAAAGGAAAGCTATTAAATCAGTGTATGGCAGAAACCACTACAATATTGTAAAGTAATTAGCCTCCAACTAATACAAATAAATGGGAAAAAAAAAAAAGGAAAGCTATTAAGTTGCTTTTGTATACTTATCTTGCTTGGCTCGTTGATTAGGTAAATTTAGTTAAACCATGACCCAACTCAATAAAAGTATCCAACCAAACCTGCCAGGTAAGCCAAAGGGTCAAACCAGTAAATAACTTGATGGAGACCTGGTTACTTTCAAAGTTAAGACAGTCTTCAAAGCAAGCCATGCGGCTCATACAAAGGAGCAAGCGAAGCCCCAAAACGTGCCTAAATGCAGGAGAACTATTTATTCTCCAGGAATCACCAAAGCTCCCGGGAGTCGTTCAAGCCAAAACTGTGATCTCCCTGCCTTGTCCTTCAGATGATGTGGACTCCAAACACATTTTCTGTGCAGCTGGAGTCTTTGTTACAGACAGAAGGATCCTGCTTCGTGAGGCCGGTGTTTATGGCCTAACTTTTTTAAAGAGGAATTTGGAAAACTTCCCAGACGCTGCATCTGCCCCTAGCCTGTGCACCTCAGAGTCTGAGGCCGGCGAGGGAGGCAGCGCAGACGACTAAATTTATTAACGGTGGATGGGCCACTCTGTCTTTTCACAGCAACAGCAGTAGGTGATCCCATCGAAAATCTGTCTGCTGGCTAGCTAGCAAATCCAAGCTGACATGCCTGCCGCAGCGCTACCCAGATGAATGGCAAGAAGGTTGATTCCTCGAAGAAACACATCACAAGCCAAAGGCTAGACCAGGAAGGCAGTTCCAGCTCCATCCGAGAGAAAGTCTTTTACTTTCTACCCACAGGTTCTTTTCTAGATACCTATGTTTTCTTTTTTTTTTTTTTAGTTTTCTCACTAAGCTTTATTTTTTTTAATAAATTTATTCATTTTAATTGGAGGCTAATTACTTTACAGCATTGTAGTGGTTTTGCCATACATTGACATGAATCAGCCACGGGTATTTTTCTTTCCTTTCTTTAACTTTTAGGAATAGTAAGCAGAAGTTGAGTGTTGTAGGGGAGCTCAGTGATTGAATCTCTAATACTCAGGGAGGAGCTGGATGTACTAGGCCAGTAGTTACTCTTAATATATTAATCTTTATATAGCACAGCTAGAGCATAATCATGATTCATTGCAAACACACATCAGCAGCCAGCCTCATATAAAAGAAAACTATTTACTACGTTAAGTAAAAATAAAATGATACACAAGCTACATTTCAGAGCTCAAGTTCCATTTCATTGTCCTCAACATTTGCAGTATTTGAAAGTCCAGCTATTGCTCCAAAATTATGTTCTCAGGAGTTATATTAATATCATTCTGAGTTTATAGAATCATATATATTATACACTTTATAAATTCTTTAAAAAGTGGTAAACTATGTACTATGAATAGTTACTATTTTCTACACCTACGGTCAAATAGTGCTTCTAAAAACTGTAATTCATAGAGCAAAAGACTTCCAGACTATAATATGCTTAAAATCAGGAACTGAGCGAGACACACAAGGTTAGCTCACACAGTGAGGGTTGGATCTTGTGTTAGATGAATTGGGAGATTGGGATTGACATATATGTACTATGATACTATGTATAAAATGGATAACTAATGAGAACCTACTATATAGCTCAGGGAACTTTACGCAGTTGTCTGTAGTGCCCTAAACTGTATGTCTGTCCAAAACAGAGGGGATATATGTACACGTATAGCTGATTCACTTTGCTATACAGCAGAAATTAACAAAACATTGTAAGGCAACTATACTAGGATAAAAATTAATTGACAAAAGAAAGTAGAAAAAAACAAGAAAATGTTTATATTTTACTGGGGATTTTTGCACTGGCTTTTATTTGAAAAATATTGTATTAAAATATCATGTACATGGACAACTGAGTTTTTGGTGCCTGAAATATTGTGCCTCCTATGCCTTACTCTACTTCTGACCCACAGAAAGTAGGCTTTCCCTGAAATTACTGAAAAACAGTCACATCAAATAAGTACTAGGAATAGTTAAACAAAGTTAAATAGATTTTTTACACTTCTTTTCAGAGACTGTAATAACTCAATGTGTACTAAGCATCTCCAACAGCATGGGGCATTTCTCAAACTCATTTGCCACAGAACTCTTTTCCACAAAGGAAGTGAATAATACTCTGAGGAACACATTCTGGTAAATAGCATCCAAGAATCATGTCCAGCACATACTTTGATCCAATAAGGCTGCCTTCCCACATCATTTTCTTTCTTCCACTTACCCCTCTTTTTTTTTTCCCCAGAATACTAAAAAGAAAAGTATGTCGACACAATCAAGCTAAAGTGTAAAAAGACTATACTGGCATCTCTATAAACGGCCATAATAAAAACTCATTGTAAAGGAATATTAGAATAATAGAGAAGAAAGTGACATCAAGCATGCTTACCCGTGAAGTCTGTATTGACTGGGTGGGTGGAGCTGGGGAACTTATAATATCCATGTCCTGTGAAGCGAGTCCCTTTCGTCACCATGGCCCTCGGAGCTGGAAGAGATGGCTCCCTCCTTTCCAGTTGATACACAGGAGAAGGTCCATTCTGCTCTTCAGGCGCCAGCCAGCTAAGACGCATGGTTGTGCTGTTGATTCCTTCAACCAGAGGCGGCCTCAGTTGGGCTGGTGCTAAATATTAGAAAACCCTTGTTACTTTCAAGAACTTGGCTTCCATCTCTAGACACCGATATGTACATATATGTTCACATGCACCTGTGTACATCATATGCCAAATCAATTATGGTCTCAAGGATTTCTATGGTTCTCAGAACTGAAAATACAAGATACAATTTGTATTAAAGGCAACCAAAGAAAATTTAAATGACTAATAAATGTTAAAGTTTTATTGAACAAAGTTTTTTCTTGTATTTTCTCTATTCTCTCTCGCTACCTAACAGACACTATATAGTCTATTGCTTCCCCACCCAGATTCCCTTTCCCAAGCAGGTGCTTCAGGGCTCCATCTTCTGTGCCTAGTCTTTAGGAGCTCATGGCTGCTCCATTTTCTAGACACTTAATCTGCCTGAGTGGAAGCTACAGGACCCCTTGTGAATCCCGCAGCCAGTGACTACCAGCCAACGGCTACAGGTCGCAAAGGGCAGAGTCCCTTGTCTTAATGTGGTATCAAGTCAGGGCTGCAATCCACAGAAGCCAAACAGGCAAAGGAAATGTTTGAAATGGGCTAGTTAGGGAGACAAGAGAAAGTGTGGGGACTGAGGAAAACCAGGTGGGGGTGAATGGTCACCAATTCATGCCAGCCAACGGATGACTCAGGAATGACGGCCCAATGTCACCAAACCTTTCAGTCTGTCTTTTAAAAAGTCATTTTTTGTGTAATTTTCTGATTTTTTTAAAGCTTAGAAACTGGTCTAAATTAAAACAAACAAATAAGCAAAAGCTGCTCTGAAAACTAAACAAAGCATCCACGTAGAAGAAATGCACGTGAGAGCTCAGGGAGGTGCAAACTCTTCTCTGGGCACCGCAGACTTCGGGCAGCCTCAAGGGTCCCAAAGAGACCACACGACCACTAGCGGGAGCCTGAGCCTTGGGCAGCCAGCACCCTATGCTCACACGCATGTGGGGCCACGGCATGATCTGAGGTTCAGGGACACTGGAAGACACTGGAAGACACTGGAAGACACTGGAAATTCTGTGGAGCCTCCTAGCAAATCTTCAGAGGGACAGATTTAAGACTTCACCTAAAACCTACTGGAAATGGATCACATTAACAACTGAGTTGTTGAAAATGAAGGCCCATTTTGATTTTTATTTTCTTAAAGAGTCTGTATGATGAGATTCATATCCACTGTAAGTGTATCAGCTGGATTTGAGGGGTAAAAGTGAAGAAAAAAAATCACATGTCATAATCACCGAGCTTAACTACTACAGACCCAAACTAAAACTGTGGACTTTAATTTACACTTGTATTAACACAGCCTTGTATAGGCACAAAGTCTTTGTCTGTTTCAATAAATGTGAATTAAAATGATGTGAATAAAAATGAATACCCTTAAACCAAGAAAACAAATTCACCTTAAATCAACTTGGAACAATTACCATTTGTTACTTTCTAGAAAGCTTGGCCAGCTTTCTAAAGAGAAACAATTGTGATTCTATTTTCACTTTTAGTAAAGAAGAAAGTGCGCTGAGCAAAAAGTTTAACAACTTAGATAATTAACAATTTTGTTCATCTCCTGCCACTGTGAACTATGTGATATTTTTATCCTTATATAAATTTATGCATGATTTCCTTTACTATTCTTTGCCAAAAATGAGCTAAATGGTGGGCTCTCAGAGATTTCATTCTATATGCTATGATTTTTCTTCAAAATAATCCAAAACAAAACAAAAAGCTAAGCCATGCAGAAATTTCTTCTCTCACTAAAGCTCATCTTCAGAGTTTGGAGTTCCATCCTTCTATTAACTCTTCAGCAAGCCATCACTGCTATAAGCTTAACTGAAAGGAAGGACTGTCAAAGATTTCTGAGTTTTGGGCTCAGGGAAGCAACGGATACCAATGAAATCTTTTCAGATTGTCTAAATTTTGCTACTTAGAAGCACAGAAGAGGAATTTTGAGTATTTCTGCTATGTTTTCTGTATTCCACTTAAGAGTCCCTAATGATCTGGGACACAAAGACTTGAACGTTTTAGTTTGAAAAATATCATCTATTTCAAAAATGTTCAATTGAACTTTCTCAGTGAAAATATTCTCAATTTGTACTGTCTAATACAATAAGAACTAGACATATATGATTATTGAATTCTTGATGTGTGTCTATTGAAACTAAGGGCTTGAACTTTTCATTTTATTAAGTAGCACTATATATAGCTACCATGTTGGACAGCAAAGACTTAGCAAATCACAAACTATATATATTTGATGTGTTAAAAATAGAAATTCCATTTTAACTATTTAGTGAAATTATGAATAAATCTCCTGTACTTCTTAATAGCAGAAGAATTTTATTATTTCTTTTTATTTTAAAATTTAAAAAGATTTTTATTGGAGTATAGTTGATTTACAATATTGTATTAGTTTCTGCTGAACAGTAAAGTGAATCAGCTATACATAAACTAATACTCTTTTTTTCTACTCTTTTTTTAAGATTCTTTTCCCATATAGGGGCTTCCCTAGTGGCTCAGAGAGTAAAGAATCTGCCTGCAATGCATGAGATCCAGGTTTGATTCCTGCTTCAGGAAGATCCCCCTGGAGAAGGGAATGACAACCTACTCCAGTATTCTTGCCTGGAGAATTCCATGGACAGCGGAGCCTGGCGGGCTACAGTCCACGGGGTAGCAAAGAGTTGGACACGATGGAGTGACTAATACTATCACTTCTACTTTCCCATACAGGTCATTACATTGTGTTGAGAAGAGTTCCCTATGCTCTATAGTAGGTTCATGGTAGTTATCTGTTTTACGTCTAGGAGGGGATATATATCAACCCCAATACCCCAATTACCCCTTGCCCTTTGCCCCTGGTACTCCAATGTTCACTGCAGCACCATTTAAAACAGCCAGGACATGGACGCAATCTAAACATCATCAAAAGAGAAATGAAAAAAGAAGATGCAGTACATATATACAATAGAATATTACTCAGCCATAAAAAAGAATAAAACAAGGCCATTTGCAGCAACGTGAATGCACCTAGAGGATTGTCACACTGATTGGAGGAAGTCAGAGAAACACAAATATCATATGATAGCACCTATATGTGGAATCCAAAAAATATGTTACAAATGAAATTATTTACAGAGACAGATGTAGAAAACAAACTTATTCTTATTTAAAATCTGCTTCATTCTCAAGGTCTCATCTCTTTGACATTTGATACTCTTTTACTTTACTCCAATCACCCAGCTGGAAGGAGATAATGAAGCTTTGTACTATTCTTTTATTCAAAATTCTTTTCCCAATGATATATCATCCATAATCACTTCTTAATCAAGAATATAATTTCAGAATCAAACAAAGCAAAAGGAATGCCAGCAACTCAGTAGTTTTTTTGGGGTGGGGTGTTTGTTTTAATATCTACTAAAATTGATAGCATGCAATTTAAAAAATATGACAAAATGATTATAATCAATAAGGACAATTCTGCATTGAGAATCCACTAAAATTAATGTTGACTATTTAAACTCTAGCAAGTAGTCAAGCATCTTTTCTAGATTCACAGGAGAATTATTCCACTGAGCAATGGCAATATTCTTAGGAAGTCAACTACAAAGGAGTGGAACTAGAATATGTGTGTGTGTGTGTGTGTGTGTGTGTGTGTGTCTGTGTGTGTATTTTATTCACTTGTTTAAAGATAAATAAACACCTCTCAGCTGTCTTTTATAGTTTCAATTGGAATCTCCAGCCCACCAGAAAGGATGAGCACTTAGTCATTATCTTCAGAGTTCCCTTAGTATCAGAAAGGGAATTTTCAGTCAACTAAATGAGACTGGTCTCATACACATTCACAAGTATTAACAGAATGATAATAAGATACTCCTGAACTATTAAACACATGCATACAAACTTAGACTCACTAAGAGACCAGGGAATAAAAGATCACCAAAAGTGCATGGATTATAGGTATAAATTTGTTAATCACAAAGCAATAAATTAAGAGACATTATGGAATTATGGAAAAGCCATTGGAACCTTCTAGATATCATAGTTTTCACATTTTGTTATCCAATCCTACAAGATTTTAGAAAAATACTTCAAAATTATGTGCCTCGTGTTTCTCTCAGACAATATAAGAATAAATTTTCAGTAATACACCTTGAAAATAAAAGTTTTTAAAAACAATATAATTGTGTTAAGTTTTATAAGGCAAATTTCTATAAAGTACAAGGCACTATTATTACTAGCCAATAAAGTATCTTTCAGATTACATATTATAAAATGATTCAATTCATTCACATTCAGAATCTATCTGTATTTACTTAGAAAATTCTCTTATAGATGCAAACTTCAATATCCATCATTTCAAAGAATAACAAGATACAAATTCTGTTTCCACTTGGAATAAAATTACAATACTGTTGTATTTTTTGCATTAGCTCTGTAATCCAATTTCTAGTCTTGCTCTTCTACTTATAATCGTTCTTTTACAAAACACTCTGTAATATATATTCTTTTTATGCAGCATTTATTACTTTATAATCTGATTAATAGCATATCATAATGCATAAATTTACACTTGCAAAATTTATGTAGTGTGGAATTTGAGCATCTTAGGATAAGAACTGAAGACTAAATGAGCAGAGGCTTTTGCTGATGACAGCTCTTTAAAATCGAATCCATGTTTTCAAGGAAGAGTTTGTTGTCTATGAAGACTGCATGGCTGCGTCAATATCTAAAAGCATTCTCAACTACTAGGAAGATGGCAATCTAGAAATAAACAGCCCTTTCTCATTTCAGGGGTGTAAGGGGAACGCTAATATATGACATCCTCAGGCATCTTGTCAGTGAAAAATGATTCTGACTTTTTCTCAGAGATGCAAAGCGTCACAAGAAATGTGATTTGCCAAACGCTTCTAGCCACAAACACCTGTGGAAAAGGGCACTGGGACCAGGACTCAGACATGATATCCAGGTTGATCATGAAGCCATGATTTTCCAGTTAGCAAGCACA